GCCTGGCTCCAAGATGAACCAGCACCCTCCCCACCCCCGGCAGCAACCCAGCCCCAGGAGGGCAGCCCCACCGGCAGAGCGGCTGAGCTGTGACCAGCGGGCAGAGCCACAGGGTCACAGCCGCCACTAGCATCAACATCAGCATCGAGCCTGGGCCTCTGCCGCCACTACTGTCCCTCAACCGCCGCAGGGAGTCGCCGCAGAATCCCAAAACGCGCAAGCCGGAGACTGCGCATGCGCACCAATGAGCCCCTGCGTGGGCTTGCGTGCACTGCAGCCGCACGCTCTGCCTGAACCCTGAGCATGCGCAGGCGAATCCCGGGAAGTCCGAATCCGCAACCCCCAACGAGCGCTCAGAGTCTGGGCATGCGCACACGGCCACCCGTGGCCACTCTAGTCTGAGCAAGTCTGATGAGCAAGCATGCCGTCTCCAGGGAATCCCAAATTCTTCAACCACTAGAAGCCCCAGAGCCTGAGCATGGGCATGTCGTCTGCGCATGTAAGCGTGAGCACTGGCTGTTTACGAGTTCCTAAACGCTGCGTTTGCAGCATTACCAATTTTCTGTATGGGTGCTGGCGCGTGCCCACAACCTTCCACGTGGCCGTAAAGGCCCTTGAACGCCTAAGGTGGGAAACCGGAAGAGGCGGAGGACCTGCTGACGGTCGAACTCCGCGCCCTTACTCCGCGTAGGCCCCGCCCCCTGAAGTGGCTACTTCGGGCCACGCCCCCATCGAGTGCCGAGGCACGCGCTGGGCGTCACGTGCGTTCACGGCGAGCGGAAATGACGTGAGTTGTGGGCGCCGTCAGTATGGCCGGGTTATGGCGGCGGGCACAGGCTACGTGCGATTGTGGGGCGCTGCGCGGTGCTGGGCGCTGCGGCGGCCGATGCTGGCTGCCGCCGGGGGGCGGGTCCCCACAGCAGCTGGAGCGTGGTTGCTCCGAGGCCGGCGGAGTTGCGACGCCTCTCCTCCTTGGACCCTGTGGGGTCGAGGCCCGGCAATTGGGGGCCAGTGGCGGGGACTTTGGGAAGCGAACAGCCGCGGCGGAGGCGCTTTCTCGGGAGAAGACGACGCCTCCGAGGGCGGCGCGGAGGAAGGAGCCGGGGGTACGGGGGGCAGCGCAGGCGGCGGGGAAGGCCCGGTCATTACGGCGCTCACGCCCATGACGATTCCCGATGTGTTCCCGCACCTGCCGCTCATCGCCATCACCCGCAACCCGGTGTTCCCGCGCTTCATCAAGATTATTGAGGTAATGGGAGTCCCCGCCTCGGCCTCAGGTTTCACACCTCTGCAAGCAGCGGGCTGAAGCGTGGGATCACTTTAGCTCCCTCGTGTTTTGTAGCTTTTTCAGACATCAGTTTCTCAGAGGCTGCAGTTAGAATCCTTGTCTGCTCACCACTAGCCTGGGGACCTTGAGCTAAAGTCCTCTTCGTTTCGGATCTCTTAGCATCCATTAGATGAGAGGAGTTGAACCCAGTGAGCCTAGGATTGTCCACTTAGAGTCCCGGTCGTAGAAATCCGGGATCCGGAGACACCAGAGTAGTGTTACAGCGCCGTTCGTTTTCTGCTTGCTTAGCACACACGTTTTGTAACGCTTCCTCTCCCAAGGCGCTGTGCCGTCGGGTTACGAGCCCCAATGGGATCAGAATTCATTCTTAAATACCTCTTGACTGCTTATGTGCCAGGAACTGTTCAAGGTGCTGGGGATATGGTAGTGAACAAGGCAGACAAAAATTTCTGCCTTTGAAGCTGGGCGTGGTGGCGCGCGCTGTAGTCCCAGCTACTCCGGCGGCCGAGGCGGGAGGATTGCTTGAACCCTGGAGTCTAGCTTGTCAACATGGCGAGACCCTGTCTCTTAAAAAGTAATCTGCCTCGGAGCTTACATTCTGGCAGGATGAGATAGGCAATAAAGATGAGTAGCAACTATGTTGTATTAGAAAGCAGTAATTATTACGGGAAATAATAGAGCATGGATGGAACTGGAGGCTTAGGAGGGAAGAGGTGGGAAGAGGACGTTATTCCTTCAGAGTGTTCTTGACCTTCGACCACGTACCACGTGCTGAGAATACTGTAATGAACAAGTCATACAGTCCCCGGCCTAAGAAACTTAACTTTCAGTGGTAGAAATTACATCATTTCAGAGTAAGAGGCTTGGGGGTGGGGAGGGAGCAGGATGATGTAAGGAACTTGAGCTTTTAGAGTAGGGAGGCCCCCAAATACCTTCTCCCCCAGTTCCCCTTCCCTCAAAAAAAAAAAAAATACTGATGTGGAAACTGGGTATAACTGAAGGTTATCTGTTAACAAAGCAAGGTCATACAGTGAGTCACCCTCTGCTAAACAAATCTCAAGGATCTGCTGGGGAAGGGAGAAGCCATTTCAGAGGGACAGCAGCCAGAGGGATATAGGGAGCTCTCCCACACTGCTAGTTTGTGTGTCTGAGCGACCCCTCCAAGGCCTTTCCTGTTTTCTTTTTCTTTTTTT